CGTAGTCGAACTCAAATTTAAATATGACCACTAGGTTTGGAACAAGAAACATCTTACTAGTCATTACCGAAACAATGGTAATGACATACCGGAATAAAATGGAATCAATTATTAGTTTCTTGGTAACCTTGTGACTTTCCCTGATCCAAGTGCGAATCCTGTGCTTCCGGTAGTATATGCATCTACTACCTTTCACACCTACTCATACTCGTCCCAAGTATTGTCCCGCAGTCGACCAAGTTACCATACAAGAAAATCACAAAACAATTTAACAGATACGAATGTGTCCAAATAATCATAAACAATTTCCCTAGACTCTACTAAGACTTCTTCATTGCTCAATCTTCAATCATCAACTCTACTTCAACTCGATTGGTGATGGAAATTCTAGACGATGGGACAACATCAAGAATTACACCAACCGTTCCATCATCCTGCCAATCGAAAGTGTACTTCAGACGTACCGTACTCCTCTAAACGTACTGTTATTTCATAAGACATACTCTAAAGGCAAGATACCACTCTTACGATATCTTCCGATAGGTGTCATCCACTCTCATAAGCCTTCTTCATTTCCTCTATTTACTTAATTTATCTACGAGTCTTCACCATGACCTCTTGTACATCCAAGCAGACATTTGGTGTACCAAGCGAGAATTTTTAAGATAAGAAAGTTTTTAATTACGATAAACGTATAAATCTCCTTATCACCCCGAAACGTTTACATGCTAGTTCTAATTTTGTAGTCGTACACTTAGAATCCTAAACACATAAGGTTTCCAGATCTGGTCGGCAACAGACCATAGATCTGAACAAATAATAGCATCAATTTAGCTATCACACAAAACAATTAGCACATAAAAGCATTTAAGGCATCATTCCTAAAATAAAATAGTGCTTGTGTCAATTTAGGTGTACTACCTAACATATTTTAGACACACTCCTCACAATCATTACTTAGCATTCTAAGTTTAAGTCTAGAAATTTCCTACAAATTCCTAGTTCGCTTAAACTAATGCTCTGATACCAACTGTGACATCCCCAATTTCACGACCAGAAAAGACCGGTTTGTTTATGCTTTGTTTTATAAATCAGAGTAATCGTTTAAAGAAAATGGTTGTGGAATTTGTTCCCAAAACAAGATATGATAAAAACTTATCAAAACATTTCTCAAAGAGAATGTATTTTCATTAAATAATAAAACCTCGGGATGTCATGTTCCGATACAGACACATAAGCATAAACAGAACATACATTCATTTACTCTAGTGATTTACATCTCCTTTAATCTCTCAATGCAAAGAAGCTTCGTATCGATACCTGTGATACAATTAAACTGAGTGGGTCAGGCTTGGGAGCCTGGTGAGCTATAGGGTTTTCAACCCACAATAATATAATTATTATATTCAATCATCAAACAATCAACCCAATTACACATCCCCATTATATTCTTTTAATCTTCCCTAAAGATATTATCCTAAGGGTCATCTTCTAAATCATATTTACCGCTCATCTCCTTACATCTTATATCCTTATATGCTTGTTCCTAAGAACTTTTCCTAAGGATCATCGCCTACATTGCATAGACAATACTAATTCGGGGATCACTCCCTCAATATATATCTAGTAAGGGTTAGGGTATCATCGCATGATTATGCAGCCACAACATCGCCTGGACTCGTAAATCATAATAAGGGTTAGACTATCATCGCATGAATACGTAGCCACAACATCGTCTGGACTCGTAATTCATAGTAAGGGTTAGTCTATGATCCCATGAATACGTAGCCACAACATCGCCTGGACTCGTGATTCATAGTAAGGGTTAGAGTATCATCGCATAAATACGTAGCCACAACATCGCCTGGACTCGTAATTCATCACCTACAGGTTACGAGCCTGCTGGTGTTTCCACGAGGTCATCTAGAATAGTCCGTGGTCCCCATCTATACTCTGGTAGATGACTACATTGCAAAATTGCCACATCATCGGTCAAGGTTATGGTATCTCCTCTCATCTCACATCACCTATTTATCATCACCTATCTATCATCACCTTTCTATCATCACCTATTTCTCATCACCTAATTATCATCACCTATTTCTCATCACCTAATTATCATCACACATCATCTAATTCATCTACCCATGTTCTACCCAATATATTTGTAGATATAAGATACATATACATATTAACTCATTTAGCACCTATATAAAACATCCATTCCACACTCATCTCAAATAAACAACAATATATAAACACATAGCATGTATTTCATAGAAAATACTTAATATTTATGTGTTAAAAGAAAGTGATCACATACTCACACATATAAACAACAATATATATACACATAGCACGTATTTTATAAAATACTTCATATCTATGTGTAAGATGAAAGTGACTATACACTCACTTGATCAGAAGATGATCGGACAACACTACGGCTCTTCAAGTAGATATTCTTCGGTGAAACCGGGATCACTTCACACACCTAGTTTCTCGCGGGCAAAGCTTCGGCTCGAAAACTCTTTTCGTCTCGGGATCTTCGGGCTTCGGGACTTGCTTCGGGTCTCGGGGTTGATATTGGGGTTTTGGGGGGTTAAAATTGCACGTAAAACGATGTAATATGGGAGAGAGAAGAGAGAATGAGCAACCAAACTCGGTTGGCCCTTCAAATCCCCTTGCCACATCGTGGGACCTTTTTCCACGTTGTGGGCTTGGTCGTCATTGCATGCGTCATCACAAGTTGCATCTGGGGGACTCCCGAGGTATCAGGAGACTTGCCATGTCGTGGCACTGCTTGCCACGTCGTGATCTCTGACAGTTTTGGGGTTTCGCGCCCCAAACTTCAGAAATTCATAGCTTTCGCATACAAACTCCGTTTTCGACATTCTTTATATCGACGCGAAGGTGAGATTATGCTCTACAACTCTCGTTTAGACTCCATTGGATAAATTTGACTTTATTTTTAATATATTATAAGTATATTACTTATATATTATCTTTAGTATGCCGGGACAGGAAAACTCCGTTCGAAATTCATAACTCCTTCATCTGAACTCCGTTTTCGTCTGTCTTTTTATCGTTGGACTACTATCGAAGACATCTTCGACTCTCGTTTATATCACTAAGGATAGATATCTATCTACCTTAGATTCACTATTTACGTCGCGCTGGGTCGTGCTGGGTCATGCTGGTTCTGTCGCGAAACTTCGACAGGTCATAACTTCTTCGTTATAACTCGGATTTTGGCGTTCTTTATTTGCACGAAAACCTTGTGACATATACTACAACTTTGTTAAGATTAATTCTTCTAGATAATCTTCCATAAAAAAGTCATTTTTGATGCTTATTGTCTCTAAATTGACTAGCCCAGATCTACGGGCGTTACATTAAAGGGCCCCACTCTCTCTCTCTCTCTACCTCTCTCTCTCTCTCTACAATACTAAAATTAAAGACGCACACTAGAAGATCACAAACATTAACAGATCGAGATTGAATAAACAGATCTTAATGGATCATACTTGCTTCTCGAATGGGCAGTTACCGGTGTTTGCCGGAGGAGCATCTGCGGCAGTGTTTTCCTCCTGAGATATCAACTCCCCCTTAAGCAACTTCGAGATAAGATCTGTCGGATCGTAATAGATCTCAACACCTTCTGCTCTCAACAATTCATCAACCTTCCGATTTCATCCAAAAAGCAAATCGAATTTTAGGTTATACATTGGAAATTATACTTATTTCAGTCGGAGAAACGAAGAGTACCTTTAGGATGCCCATGCCATAGAAATCAATCATTTTGCCGGTAGGTTTATGGCCTTTGAACGGACCTTCGAAGTAACCCCAGTGTCGGAATTTGTACGATATCACCGGAGGTCCGGAATGAACGCTGATCACCTCCCACGCAAATCCACGAGGAAACGACGATCGGAAAACATCATGAGAGGATTCGAAGGTTTCTTCTTCGGCTTTGTAGTACTTGTACTCTTCTGGAAGTGTACTCTTCAGCAATGCATTGTAGCTTCCCACCTTCAGTGTTTCCTCCACAGACAATATCTCTCTCTCTCTCTCTCGCACACCCACGAACGAACACTAGTCTTACGCATCCAGAACTCTTCGTAGATTCCACCTACTTGATCGAATCGATTGCTGTTGCTGAATTTGAAGGAAGATTGATTCCTGAATTATGAGGAAAAGGCAGCCATGGTCGACCTTCAGGGTCACTTGTAGTCGAACGCAAACCAAATGATCGAGTAGCGATTGGTGAAGCAATGAAGGTCGTGACCTATTTCTATGAAGATAAAATGGAATGGGGTAAACGAGTATGGTGTATTTACGAGTCAATTTTCCCCAATTTTCCAATTAGGGGGGGGGGGGGGGGGGAGAGAGAGAGAGAGAGAGAGAGAGACCCTTTAATTAAATAATTATATTTTTTTTTTCTTTTTTTTAATAGAGAAAACCTCATAAATGGTCCATGTGTATTGAAATGACGAAAATGCCCCTCACTTTACGGTAGAAAGCTGACGGAGTTCGGCGGAAGGACCATTTGTTAAAAGTTTTGAAACCACGGGGACTATCTATGAGGTTTTTTGAATTTAGGGATTAAACTTGATATTCCTAGAAACCATATGGACTAAAGTTTTGTCTATAAATATTTACATATTGACTCAAAGTTACTTTTACTGTATAATGGCACTAACACTAATTATGCTAAAACCGAAGGCCACCATTAAGATGATATTGGTTTTTAGTCCCTAACTAATAATTACTTTTATTATACAATCGTCTACGCACTAACGTTAAAAAGTATATACAATCGTCTACGCACTAACGTTAAAAAGTATCTTAAAAGACCATTTGGTTTTAAGGTCAAATATTAGAAATAAACCTCATAAAATATGTTTTCTTATTATTATTAAAGTAAATTGTATTTTGGTTAATTCATCACCATTCCAATCCAAAAATCATTTGGGTCACTCATAAGGTACGGAGTTGCTCAACTTCAAGGACATCATGAAAAGTGACTCAAATTGACCCAAATGAAGCATAAACCTATATCTAGATAAGCAAAGGTCAAGACCTATATCTAGATAAGCAAAGGTCAAGGTTAGAACTTTATACATTCATAGAACCGTAAACTTGATGAGCAAGTTGGACCACGGATGGGACTTCACTCCATTGCACCAAGAGGGAACTTCTTCTTCACTAAGCTTCACAAGAGCAAGGTCAAATACTCAAAACACATTAACGGAGGCTAGGGTTTAAGAGATGGTCGTTCTTAAATAGTGGGGGTTGCCAAATGAGTTAACTGTAGAGCCTAAGGACCGAGATATTTGATTTTGAACTTTAGCTGCTACCACGTCACAGTAAGGACTGACCGGACCGTCATTTAATGAAATGCTATGTGCTTTTGTACGAAGAAATCTCAAATTTCAATTACTAACAAAAGACTTATACATATATAGAATACGAATGTTACAATTTTAAATTCAGTTATTGGTTTAATTTTTAGACAAAATGAAATTATGAGTTTAATTTATGGTTTGAATTTAAGTTTATTCGAGTTTAAACCAAATTATGAATATGGTTCCTAGTTTTGAGTTTAAGACAAAATTAAATTAATTATGAGTTTAATTTATGGTTTGAATTTTGGTATAGTGGAGTTTAAACCAAATTATGAATATGGTTTAGACGCTTCGGTGTGGGCAATACGGAGAACGCGTTATCTGACGTGGCATGCGCCATAACGCGGAACACCGCCCCAGCTAGCCGTTATGGGGCGTTACGCCATAAGCCGTGACTATGGTAACGAGTTGTAACGCGATTTTTTTGACCATTGTAACGGTAATATTACCGTTGATTTGTAAATAAAAAAAAATTACTACTTTAAAAAATTAAACTTGTTATGAATTATTATTTAGTGAATGATTATTGGATTCTCCATATTCCCCCATTACTCTCCATAATTAGTGAACATTATAACAAACATTATTATGAGTTTTATGAGTGTAGTTATGCACCACTATAATGAGCATTCATACCATACATCACCTTTCATCTTCTTTGTCTAGTATAAGTAGTGAATATTATGTATTGTAAAGTTTGATGATTTCATCACAAGTATTGGAATAAAAGTTCTCTCTACTCTCATGTCTTTCTTTACTTTATAATTTATCTTGTTATTTGATCATATTTTATAACACGTTATCAGCACGACTCTACCATATAGCTGTAACTCCTTATTGGTCTTGTTATTTTCAGGTATGTATTTTTTATAATTTTACATGTACAATGCTTACAACTTATTTTATGGAATTTTTTAACTAACAATTCCTTACATTACAAGTTTTTATTTTGATTTCTATTTTCATTATGGAAAACAATGCTAGAGAAAACTTTCTTTAGTTTTCATAGTACTAACATGCTCCTGCAGTAGCAATATCATGAGAAAGGTTTAAAATAAATATGAATTAATCTCATGTCTTCTTGCAGCTAAACAAAACAATGAGTTATTGATGAAAAATCACCAATTAATCCTGACCGGTTCTAGTGCATTCCCTGAAGTGAATGCAACATCATATAATCATAATAGTCATGGGTCTAACCGAGGTCGTGGAGGTTATCATAATTATTATAAAAATAACAATATTACAAGTAACCACCAGTAGTTGGAAAATAACAAAAATCCACATCCTAATGATAAAAGTGGTCAAGGCAAAAACAAAAGGTTGAAAATGTTTATCACTAATGTGGAATGACCGATCATTAGTCTTGTACGTGTTGCTTACCAAAGCATTTTGTTGATCTTTATCAAGATTTTCTAAAATATAAAGAAAAATATCGAAACAAAATTTATTCAAAGTGATCTTCATGAAGATCAACCAGAAATGACACATTTAGATGTTGTTGATTTTCTTGTCTACCCGGAAGGGACAAGTGGTGATATGGATGGTGATTGATCAGAATAAATGTGTAGTTTTGTTTTTATTATGTTTTGATGTCATATTCGTTTCATGAGAAATGATGTCGTCACAATCTTCCCAAATTAATAAAATATGAATTTATTTCTCTAAGTCGAATGTTTCTTATGTTTTATTTATTTATTGAAAAGAAACATGGATATTCGCAAAAGAAATAATAAAGATATATTTCTTGCAGACAATGCAATAACACATAGCATTTTTAATAATGAAAAATATTTTGCTTACTTATCAATTGGAGAAGCAAATGTTAATACAATAACGGGTAGTGCAAAAATGATTAAAGGCTCCGGAAGAGCGAATATCATATTACCACAAGGGACAATAATTACAATTGGAGATGCATTATTTTCATCAAAATCACCAAGAAATTTATTAAGTTTTAAGGATATTCGGTCCAACGGATATCATGTTGAAACAACCAATGATGGTGATAAAGAGTATCTCAATATTACAAAAATGATATCGGATACGAAAAGTTTTTTTGTAAAAATTACTTGTATTGTCCTTCGGATTGTACTATACAAATATTACAATGATTCTTGCTATTGAAAATATTACAATGATTCATGCTATTGAAAATAAAAAAAGGTATGATATTACCTTCATAGTTTGGCATGACTGGTTGGGCCATCGCGGATCAATTATGGTAAGTATAATAAATGAAACTTCAAGTGGTCATTCCTTGAAAAACCAGAAGATTTTTCAAGATAATGAATTGTGTTGCATGCTCTCAAAGAAAATTAATATTCAGTTCATCAATGAACAAAGTTGGGTATGAAAGTCTTAGTTTCTTACAAAGAATTCAAGAGGATATGTATGGACTAATTCATCCAACACTATGTAGACCATTTAGATATTTTACGGTTTTAATTGACGTGTTAACTAGATGGTCACATGTGTGCTTGTTGTCTAGTCATAATTTGGTTTTTGCAAGATTACTTGCATAAATAATTTGCCAAAGGGCACATTTTCCCGATTACCCAATTATGAAAATTTGACTTGACAATGTTGGAGAATTTACATCATAAGCTTTTAATGATTATTCCATGTCGATTAGGACAACTATTGAACATCATGTTGCATATGTTCATACACAAAATGGTTTAGTTGAGTCGTTAATCAAACACTTTTAATTAATTGCAAGACCATTACTAATGCATTATCAACTTCCTATATTGACATGGGGCATGCAATTTTACATGCAACATCACTTATATGCATAATGACAACTAGTTATCATGAGTTCTTCCCTATTTAACTGGTTTGAGGTCAGGAACCAAATATTTACCATCCAAGGATGTTTGGATGTATAATTTATGTACCCATTTCTCCACCTCACTTCATAAAAATGGATCAAGAAGAATGAGAATTTATGTTGGATATGACTCTCCATCTATAGTAAAATATTTAAAATCATCAACTGGAGATTTATTTACAGCTATATTTGATGATTAGTATTTTGATGAATCATATTTTCCAACATTAGGGGAAAAAGCTGGAAAATAAAATCTCTTGTAAGGAATTGTCACTTTCAGTTTTAGATCCTCGTTCAAGTCAATGTGAACTTGAAATAAAAAAGATAATTCCTTTACCAAATGTAGCAAATCAATTGCCAGAAGCATTTATTGACCATAAGAGAGTAACAAAGTCTCATGTACCAGCTATACTTACTCAAGTTAGAATTGATATCCCAGAAGGAAAAAAAAATACAACTGCAAATGAATCTTAGGCACGCCTGAAGTGTGGAAGATCAGCCGGTTCCAAAGATAAAAATTCTCGAAAATGAAATGAAGCAAATACAATTGATGGTCCAAAAGAGAAAATATAATCTCTTGAAAAGATTATTATTGAAGCTGTAGAAGAGCCCAATAACATACCAAAAGAAAATAAGGTACCTGGAAAAATAAAAATGATGAGATCTCAATAAATAATGTCATGACAGGAATAAGATGGAACCGAAATAAGATAGACGTCGACGATAATTTTTCATATCATATTCCGCGCGCGATTATAAAGAAAATGAGGATCTTGAACCTAAATCTATTGAGTAATGTATGAATAGGAAATATTGGCAAAAATGGAAAGATGAAAAGTTTTTGGACCTGTAGTCCGTACACCAAACA